TTAGGATACCAAACTGCTTGACCTTGTTTCAGTACAGGTGCTATGCAGTACATGGAACTATAGAAATTGTAGGTATCTGCATGTGAGACAAATTCCAGAGACAGCACAGTGATGCCTGGCAGCAGCACTGCCTGGGGACTCTTTCAAAGAAGGTACTTATGAAAAATGGCCTTTTGATAGATATCAGTGTAGTAAAGTTTTTTTTTCCTTTTGCCTCATTTAAAATCCTTGCTACACTGCTCTGGGTATGTACCCTTCATTACCAGGTCACTTCTTCCCTTCATGCCTGTAATTGGAGAGTAACGATGCCATAATGGGCTCACAATGCCAGTGAGGTGTGAGCTGAATCAAAATCAGTATATTAGCCTCCCTCACCAAATTAAATTTCAATTTGCAGAAGGATATTCAAGGGATGCAGATGTAAAACAGAGCTAAGTTATCCCCCCCCACCCCGAAAGCGTGACAAAGGAAACTGAGTCTCATCATAAGCACATCAAATATTCTCTGTCCAAAATGAGATTTCTTTAACCCTGGGAAAAGAGCTTTTTGAACCACACAGCATGTACTGGTTCTGCCTTGCAACTTCCATGTTCAAGTTCTACACTTAAAAAATAACCAAAGCAGGAGATGAAACATTAGCAACTGCTCCATGACACTGAGATGGATAAGTACAGAGACTCTGCCACACTGAGCTCAGAACACACGTTAGCCTGGAGAAGGGGAGGCTCGGGGGACACCTCATCACTCTCTACAAGACAGGAGGGTGTAGCCAGCTGGGGGTTGGTCTCCCCTCCCAGGCAAGGGAGGGCTGGGTCTTCAGCTGTGCCAGGGGAGGTTTAGGTCAGATATCAGGAAGAAATTCTTCACAGAGGGGGTAATCAGCCATTGGAATGGGCTGCCCAGGGAGGGGGTGGATTCTCCGTCCCTGGAGGTGTTTAAGGTGAGACTGGATGTGGCATCAGTGCCATGGGCTGGGAACCACGGCGGGGTTGGATCAAGGGTTGGACTGGATGATCTCAGGGGTCTTTTCCAACCTGGCTGATCCTGTGATGACACGTGTTTATCAGTGTGAACATCTGCAACAGGAGAAGGACAAACTCCAGAACTTTGTGCCCACACCTAACAAGGAACACAAGAATACTTCTCAAAGTCCAATCAAAATCTTATTAAACTTACTTGCACTTGACACCAGCAAAACAGAACAATGCCCTAAGCAGCCAGTAAAATACAGTGTCCATTCAGCCACGCAGACAGGCTCTGAAGCAAATGGAAGGGCCTGGACCTGGAGCTCACAAAGAGGGGACTGTGCTTAGAGGTCAGTTCTCTGCATGCAAGTTATTTCAATCTCTACAATCACCATTTTATTTTTTTAAAAGCCTAGAATTTGCTCCAGCTAACACTGGCAGTGTAGAAATAACATGATGCCTAAAGTCTCCAGTTTTATGACAGGTCTGTAAAGCAGGTACCTCAACAATTCATGTCTTTTCCCTTATCACGTTTATGTGAATGTCTCTGAATCCTACTGCTCTGAGAGTTATTGAATTAAATGTAACCATTTTCAGTCTATTTTCATTTGTTTGTCAGAGGTTCACTCAGATATAAGTGCAACACTAGTTTACAGACAGATACCCCACACTTCCTACATGAAAATTACAGTATCATTGTTTACTTATCCTGGATTATTGAAAGTCCTCATTTCAGCTGTGCAAGCACTGCACTAAAGAAGTACAGTGTGGGCAAATATATAGCTCTGATTTGTTTAGTCTCTCCTTTTTTTGCCTCAAAAGTCCACGGAAAATTATTAGTTTGTTTCTTCAGTTGCAACAATTAATAATTCATTTTTCAGACAGTGATTTTTAAGGGATCAAAGACAAGGCCAAAACATTGTACAAAAAGACACTAAAATAATTTCAAATAAAATTAATTATTCAAAAATGTAACTAAAACTCTTCCACAGTGCCTGAATCTGCAATAGTAAGTCACATAACTAGCCAGACAGACCACACGAATCACTATGACCACCCTTTAACAGCTCTGCCAGTATAAAGGATGGCTGATGGCTGATTTAAATAAGTTTCTTTCCAACACAAAACATTCATTTTGTTTGAACTACAACTATTTTAACATAGGACTCAACACTGCTAAATCAAAGTCAGTAGGAATTGCACCATTGATTACAGGAGCATCAAAAGGGTTATCCCAGGCTCCAGGTCAGAAAGCAGCACAACTCTAGAAGCAGTTGTGGTATCTCAGAACTCACAACACTACTAACAATTGCTACAGTAAATTTTAAATTAAGCATTTTCCTCTTGTAGTTTCCTCAACACATGACGTTTTTGCACTCATAACCCGCAGCTTTCCTTTCCCAAAAGCTTATGCTTTAAATAAACACATTCAGAACAGAGGTAGCAAAACAAAAGCTTTTTTCACTGTTAAGTCCTAGAAAATTATTTGCCTGCACATGGCAGAAAGCTCACCCCTGTCTTACTCTTACTCAGTTTTGGGGTACTGAACTGAGTGGGGGTTGCTGTATAGCTTGTTTCTTTTCTTTTTTAAGTGTTCTTACTGCCCTCACAGCATTCTGAGATCGTCATGCCTAGCTACAGAGACCAGATTTTCAACAGATCAGTTCAGTTAGGCACAAAATCAAAATGGACAAATCTTCACAAGAGCTCAGTACAGTCAGTACTAACCTCTTTTGAACATCTGCCCCAATTATAGATGCCAAGTACTTGAAAACCTGGCTCCAAGCTCTTAAAAATCCATTTTCATATGCTCAAAACCCATACTACAGCCAATAAAGGGACTTCTGACACTGGTTTTCTACCAGGGGAGAAGCAAGGCAAGAGGTAACCTAGAACAGAGAGTAAATCTACTGAATAAATGCACTTCAAATGACAAAGCTTACTACTACTGCCTTTACTGGCACAGTCCAGCTTTGGGTGTAGCTCCTTTTTTATTTATATATTAGCCTGGCTGAGCCAGAACTGAACACCCTTCCTTTTCCATTTCCTCACTGGTGTCAGCCTGAGGTGTTGCTAGAGACAGTAGACATGGGCCAGAACAATGAGCTGGCCCAAAAGAAAGTGTAGCTATCCCTCACACCTTTCTCTTGTAACCAAATCAGGTTCAATGTATGTGAATTAACTGAGTTTACAAACCTGGGAAAAAAAAGACAAAACCAGAATATTCATCCAACTGTAAATTCACACAGTTGTGAAAGAGAACATAACCATTTGCTATTTCAGTGGGCTAGAATGTTATCACTTAGCTTTAACACACACTCCAGGAATCACTTCCTAAAAGAAACTGTTGTGCAAAATGAGATTGAATTACACATTTTGAAGCTTTCACACCTTTGAACTTTCATATAAAATATGAAATAACAAGGCCAAAATTCTGCCCTCAGCACAATTCTTTGTCCTGAATAAAAGTTGTTCTTTTATTGGAGTTTCTTTGAGGATATCTGAATTTGCAGTACAATAGTTGTTCACACTTCTATGTTAAAATATAAAACTGAAACGACAGTTTTGGCCAATTCATACAGTTATTACACTAGAAAGCCAGTTCCCATTAGTTCCCTGAACTGCCATACAGAAAAAGTAGAATCATCACTTTTTTTTTTTGCTGTGATCAGACCTATATGGAGAAGTCTCCAAGCATTTGTTAAGGAACTCTTGCCTCTAAAACATGTGCATGACATTTAACGTAGAAGTGTTTGGCTTTTTACTTCTACCACCTGCCCCGATAATTTAAACATGTTATTTTCTTAACACAAACTATATTTACAGCAGTTTCAAATACAGACTTCTCAAAGAGGCAATGTTAATTCTAGCTTATCTAAACACAGATGATTCTTATGAGAAAACAAAAACATCAGGGACTTAATGTAAAAACCTTCTAATACCCTAGCGTATAATTACATTATTCATTAGCAAGTGACTTCAAGTGGGTGTAATTTAATGTTTACTTCCTGTCCCTTGAGCAAACACAACACAGAATAGCTAATCAATTTGATCCCAAGACTCTAAAGTCTCAATAAAATCTGGTAGAGCTCACCCCAGGCTGCCCTCGAGGATCAAGAGTGCTTATCCAACTTACAGGTTCACTCACTTAAGGGGCAGGATGGCAGATCCACGTGTCTCCTGCCCTTTCAGCATTTCTCAATGAATTCAACGGAAAGAAATTGTCCTGCAAGACTTACTTATCACTTGCTGTTGGTTTTGCCTAATTCCGTGTTTTGTGCGCTGGGCTGGTCCC